GTGTGCCCAGCACTGCAATAAAGAATGCCTGCTCTCTAAAACTCCAAAACAAGTCTTAGAGAGTTCCTCTGCTGGCTTTATGGTAACACTTCCATGGTTGCTGAAGGACTGCCCTACCAAGTTACACCAAGAATCTACCTAAAGGCCTGCCTGTAAGGAAGGCAAGTGCAGAGTGATGCTTCCTCTGTGAGATTCTTCCAAGCCAAGCTGTCTCTGCAGAATGGCTACTTCACCCACATGTTGTATCTGCAACTGTGCACGCACATGGTTGAAGCTGTGGTACTCTCTGATAAACTTATCTTACAAGTGTAATTTACCATTTACATCACAGTTGTACAGATTTTTTTATTGTGTTTTGCAAATGTTTGAACATGATAGTCTAGTAAGCATCTTACTCTCACTCTCTTGAGTTTTCTGTATCTGCAAACAATACTAGGTACTGATTTCTTAGTTTTAATTAAGCTGAAATTGTAATCTTTATAGTTTAGAGCAAGAATTCAATATACGCAGGGGAAAGTGCCTGTAAAACGTGGAAGTTTTGCAGTAAAGCCCTGCAGTTTGTTCCTCATGTTTTACACTGAGGACTTTCAGACTGCTCAAAGTACAATGCGATCTCCCTTACTTAACTGGCACTTCTATCTGTGAGAGGAAAAAAGGTGTGCTCTAGTGCCACAGATGAAACACTCTTGAGAAAAAGGCAATCATCATGCCCTGCACTAGTGTTTTTGAGTCTGGCATTGCTGAAGCTTGCCGTTGTCTACTAGTGTATTTTTCATACCCAGCTATATTTCAACCTCATACTTGGTGACTTGTGAGTCAGCACTCTCAGTCTTTTATGTTTGTGTCTGTGAACTAGGAGATCAGTTTCACTGGGGATGTAGAGTCTGTGATGGGGCATTGATTAGGTATTTAGAAAACACAAGCAAAAAGAGCATACTGAGCAGCAGAAGTTAGGCAAGAGGAAGGGACAGGTATGCATTCATTTTCTAGCAGTTTTCTGGGAAGTAGCAAGGTAGTGCTGATGTAGTCCTGTGTATAGAGGGACATCAGGCAGTTAACAACATTGGGAAGCCAACCGGAATGGGTCAAGCGAAACGCCTTCTACAATTGGGAGAATCGTAAGGAGAACCACGAATGAGGTGGTTATTATCTACGTTTGAAAGCTTGTTTTTCACCAGAGAGAACTTGCAACTTGTTGTTTTTACAGCTTTAACTCTACTTTGGTTTTTTTTTGTTTGTTTGTTTTTTTTCAATTAGGTAAATGTCCCAGGGTGTGCTAAGAAAGCTAGATTTTGTTCTCAGGCATCTGGGGAGTAAAATGTTTCTGTACTGAAGGGGTCAGTCTTTCCCCATTTCTTTCCTCAGGCAGTCCGATGTTGAATTACTTCATTTTACGTGATGGTTGATCCAGGAATTGAGTTATATTAACATGGTTATTTGTTTAAACATGGATTTTGTTGGCCTCATCAGGGTAATCGTGTTATGCAAAGTAAAAGATAGCAGCCTCGGGTCTCATTGCAGCTTCATTTCAATTGGAACCGGTTGGCTGACAAATTCAAAGTGAAATTGTGTGCCTGAAATTGCATGCATGTGCCTTATCTGACCAAAGGTAATGGTGTATGCAGATTATTTGGACTTCAGTGGTCTGTGGGTGCTGAGAAGAAATGATTAACAAAAGAAGAATTTTTAAACAGTTCAGATAATTGTGAGAATACTGGAGGCTAGTACTCTGTGAAGGTTTTGCATGGCAAGCCAATCAAAGTCAGGCTGGAGTCACTCAGCTGGTTTTCTTGTGAGCCATCTCTCTGCTTACGACTGCCTGAGAGTCAAACAAGCAAGACAAAGCTTAAAACAAAAAGCTCAAAAAGAACTGCGAATAAATATGTGCATAGACACATGTATATCTGCATGCACGCTCACATCCTCATCATAGCATGACAATTATGAAGGGCGCACCGATATTAACAAGGCCAGGGTGACTAATGGTGCAAGTCAACATCTTTCCACTTTGAACCCAGGATAAAGCGATAGCTAAAACACCAGCTACCACTATTCTGCAAGTCTTGCTGCTGTTCTGAGCTGTGTAACGACTCAGACACTTACTGGCTACCTAATAAATGTGCCACCGTTTTTCCATGTAACAAGGAACATCACCAATTTAGTGTGGCAGGCAGGAAGGAAGAGGAGCTGTGCCATCACCAGTAAGTCTGCAGTAGGTCGAATGGATGCTTTTGGGGATTTGCACTGCTTGTGGATCTCATTTAATTAGTCTAGATAAACATTCAAGGATTGATACTGGGGATGGTGCATCTGAGGCAGCACTCTGTGTCCCTCTTTGTTACAGCAAAAGATGGTAATTATTGGCGTAGCTGCTCTCCTTCAGAGATCTTTTGAAGCTGAATGATTGCTGCTGATGGCACTGACAGCCAGCCAGCTATTTCTCTGGCTTCATTAAATCATCCTATTCATTTAGATCTCTCAGTTGCTGTAGGACTGTTTATGGTTTAGACTTCTTGTATTTGCTGGCTCTTTGTGCTTGTTTCTTGCTATTAATTTGAATGCTTTTGTACTGAAAGAAGCTAGTACGCTAGTTTTTTCCTCCCTTCTCTTTTGAACATGTAATCATAGGCTGGTTGTTTTCAAAGTGCTGTGGTTTTCACAATCTCCATATTTGCTGAAACAAGGCAGTAAGGTGACCCACAAAACTGAATTTCATGGTCAAACACCTATCCAGTGAAGGTAGCAATGAAGGTTATGAAGGCCCTCTGGTAAAGTTTGCACCTGAGAAGTGCTTGACTAGTTGATTGTATGGCAACATATATTTTTAGCCAGGGTGAGGTCTTTCAGACAGTCACCTTTGAGGTGTCTCTCATGTTATTTGTATAGGAGTGTGAGTCAGCTGATATCTGTTTCATTTTAAGGATCTTGGATGCATGCTCTTCTATGACCCTGTACTTGCTGAGCTGTCCAAGGCGTTGCTTGACAAGCAGAGACACAGCTCATTCTCTTCCCCAGAAGTTCTGTCCTTTTTTATTGCTCACCCTGGGTGTCAACTCTGCCCTACGTGCTGTTTTCCTTGTTCTTTATTGGAGTCAGTGATTTGGGGAAAACCAGGAGGCAGCAAAGACAGGTTCAATCAATAATGTCCTGCTCAAGTTGCAGTCTTGGTGCAGTGCATGTACTGCAAGGGGAAACTTCACCCTAATTTATGGGCTGTCTGTTAGGCTGGGAAATCAGATTCTGTGAAGTCCAGAAATAAATTTACCTTCTGAGGTGACTATTCAGCTGGCAGGGATGTGTTGGAACCATGGACTTCTCTAGAGACTTGTAGAAGTTTGGCTTTTTCACATATGCTTTGTTGGCATATCAAGAAGTGCTTTGCACTGTCTCCTGTAGCTTCATTTGGTGAGTCGCTGGACATGCTTGGGCAAAACTGGAAGCTGAGCAGGATGCGTGGCACTGCTTTGGGTTGCTGTATGGTGTTGCACTACTTTACATAAACTTTGTTTCCTCAAGGAAAGCTCTGATACTGCAGGTAACGATGATGTATTTCTTCATGTAGACATCCTCACACTTTCGATGATAAAGCTGTGCACCTTTATCAAACACAGATAAGAGCTTTTGCAGTGTTTTTGCAGAGGGCTAAAGGAGCAGTTGTATGGACATACACATCCATCCCCAGAAATAAATCTTCCTTTGCTGACCTGCAGCTACACCTTTTCCCTGGTTACTTTTGCTGTGAAAAATCATCTGATAGTGCTTACCTCCACGATCACACTTGTGGCTTGAAAGAAAAGGAAATTTACCCACAAGTGTTCGTAGCTGTAACTGCTCTGACAGTGGTTGAAACCACAGGATTTTTTTTTTTTTTTCATAAAATAGCTATTGTACCTGAGAATTCTCTGTTCAGGAAGGAAATGCTTAGCATGCAAGAATACTTTAAATATTTCTCCCCACCTTCTTATTTCAAAGCATATCGTTCACTAGGGATCTAATCTAGCAGGATTTAAAGGTTTCCTGGTGAAAAGCCCATAAAGAAGTGTATACATAATAGCAGAGAAAAGGTCACTTCTGAAATGTTACCTATTTTCACCTTCCAGGCTGCATTGTGTGCGCTTGTTATTCTTGGAGGTAAGAAAATTTATTTAATTCTTAATAATTCCTTAGCATGCTTTTATGTTAAACTGCGATGGAAAATTTGGTTTGGTGTGGAGGTGTTCTTAGAGGTTTATGCTGCTGAGTTTATTAGCTGCAGGACCAGGACAACATTTGAGTGTTGGGTTGAAACAAAATTACGTTCCCAAAGTGCTTTAGCTTGCTGCACTTGCTGTTGTAAATAGCTTCTGCTTGAAATTAATTCCAGTGGGAAATAAAAGACCTCAGCTAATGGAATTACATCAGTATATCTGGAATATGAAAAAGCCAAGCAATTAAAAATAGACAATTAATTAAGCTTACAGTTTCCTCTTAAAGATGTAATGTTTGAAGGAGTGCTGTAATAAACTCTAGCAAGATAATACTAATAAAACAAATATAATTTGACAGAGTTTGCTTGTTAGATATTATTAATTATGAGTTGAGTTGTGCCTTCATATGTACAAAGAATAAAAATGGCTGATTCATTAGCTGTCAGGAATACTTTTCAACATGTATCAGGTTATACCATTTGTGGCTTTATTTCATCAAAAATCTCTAACAGGAGTTTAAAGAAATTTTCATTTGAGCTTTATGAAACTGCCAAGGAGGAAGACTAGTACAAAACCATCTGCACGTATTCTTGTGGCACTTGGACAAGCCAGGGTTTAGTGATTAGTTTGAGATCATACATTTCAGTAGCTGGATTTGGAAGTGAATCCCAATTTTCGTTCTTAAATCCCAGCTCCCAGGTGATGTTCTCTAACCGGTGTCATCACCAGAGCTTCAGCCTGATGGCTGTAATTATGTTAAAATGTTTGGTAATGACTTTTTTCTGTTTGTGCTGTGTTTTCAGCTCACAGTGATGTGACGACAATAGATGGAAGAGTGTGTGAGACTGTTACTTTTGACCTTGACTATCCCCAATTGGAGCAGTCTTTTCGGATCAGCTGGCACAAGGGAAGTGCATTCTCACAGCGCTGGACACGTGGCAGCACTAGCCATGGCCAGCGTGTTCATGTCTTTCCTAATGGGACGCTGGGGCTCCGCATGGTCAGGAAAGAGGATGCAGGACGGTACACGGCCACAGTGTGCAGCAGCACTCAGCATTGTTTCTACCAAAGAAAATTTCAGCTACATGTGCATGGTGGGTGTAAATTCTCACTTTAAAGTCCTTGTCTTTCTCTGTTGGGCTGCCTGGATCAGATACTTGTTTATGTTATAATGTATAGATTATGTATTCATGGTTGGCAGTTTCTGCCTTTGTTTTTGAGTTCATGTGATAATGTAGATGAGAACACTTGTATGTTATATTTTTGATTAAAGGCTTGTTACACTTGTAATTGGCATCTATGCTTGAGCTACAAATCTAAAACCAAGATGTTGCAGTTAGACTTTTAAACCCAACCATTTAAGCTCCTAAATGTGCTGAGCTCTTATTCAGTTTCCTTCTTTAGTTATTGGGCTCTATTTTTAGACTCTCAACTCCTGTTTTTTCATTCTCTTTATCCAGTGGTTAAATTTACAGCTAGCAAAATTAGATCTTTATTTTGAAATATGTGTTAACATCACTGTTGAGGTCAACCCAGTCCAGCGAGGTTTATTGAAAGCTGCCTTAGCTTTCCTTAGTGGAATAATGTGGAGATATAGGGACATACAATGTGCTGATTAGGACTCTCCTCCCTATTCTGAGCATCTTGGCCCTTGAGGTGTTAGTTCTTCAGGGGTACCAGCACAGAAGATTAGTCAGAGTTGTGCGTTGTTCCTCCTTCCTGCTTTCCTCACTCTCAGCATTACCCTTTGCTTGCGGTTTCAGGGCTGCCAGAGGGCCCACAAAAATAAATACTTGTTCTCTCTTCCCAATAACTCCCTGTCTTCCCTGTCCCCTTTCACTGTATTTTGCAGCCAGGAGTAGAGGATGAGAAGCTTCCTCCTCATGCTTCTCCCTTGATATTGTCAGTACCCAGCAAAGCACTCTGGCTGCCTTGCCCTCATAGTCCTGGATGTTGAAGGGAATTTCACCTTTTGTGCCTCAGTGACTTGAACTTGCCATCTCTGACTTGAGCCAGAGCAATACAAGAATGTGGAATAGAAAGTGGATTCTGATGATACTGCTGTTCGAGGTGACTTGTTTTTTGTGCCTTTTAGTTACTGCCTTTCCTCTGTTTCCTGGAGGTAGGAACCAGAGAATTTTTTTTCCTTCATATCCATTGGATGGGTAGACAGAACAGACAAACAGGAGGCATTTTAGGCTGTTTGAGATGTGTCCTATCTTATTTTGAAACAGCTAAGAATTGAACTATGTTATGGCAGGTGGTTTCAATGTAGGCAATCATTGCCCAGAAGCAGTTAGCTTTTTAGAAGCAAGTAATTATCATTTGTATGGGAGTTATTTTTATTCAGACTACAGTAATTTTATAACTCAGACATGCCAAATTCAACTCTTACAACAAAAGACATAGGGTTTATTTCCATTTCTCATATAGCAGCTGTTGCAAATGTCAGGATCCAGTTTTGTAAGGAAACTGTTAAAACTTACTATTTGGGTTTTGGACAGTGTCAAAGACAATATTCTAGATGTGTCCCTAGGCATTAATATATATGGCAGATGCTGATTCATAATACACTTGCTATGTCTTGTGACCTTCCAGTAGGATTCTCCCTTCCTAAATCATATCCAAGTAACATGCTTTCTCAGCATGACAAGGAAATGGACCTTCTCATCGTTCTCAGGGAACTGTTCAGGGACTTAATTTGTTACCTGCCCCCTTCTTAAAAGCAAGTTCTGGCTGCATGAAGGTTTCTGGTAGGTAACCACTAAGCCTGTGTGAAAATGCTTCCAAGGTAGTAAGAGATTTCAAAAAGCAAATATATATGATGTCCTCTACATCCCTTAAGTAAATATATATGTGCTCTCTTTCAACAGGGCACCTTGTCAGAGGGCTTGTAGGTGACTGTGTTACTTTTGATCTGAACTGCCTGCAATCAGCCAGGTACATCCATGTTATGTGGAAGAAGGACAACCAGCGAGTGGCCAAGATAAAACCGGAGGCAAATGTCTCTGTGATCTACTGTGACAGAGCCCATGTGTTCCCCAATGGCAGCTTGAGCCGCTGCCCCACGCAACGCAGGGATGAGGGAGAGTATGTGGCAGATGTATTTGGTCAGGATGGCGTGCATTTGCATCAGGAAACTTTTAACCTGGAACTGAACAGTAAGTTTGAGTGTGCAGTGCATGTGTGATGATGAATTTTCAGTAGGTGACCTTGCACTGTTTGCATGCCTTGTTTTGTCTTTTGGGTCTCTTCCCGAAGGGTGTATTTTGTAGATGAATGAAATATCCAGAGAAAAATTCCCACATTTTTTTCCCTTCCATTCTCTGAGTGTAGCTGTGTTGTAGGACATAAGTTTAGAAGTGTAGTATGGCTGGGCGTGGCAGAGCAAGGAGAGGCACTCATTTGTATGGCAAATCCTGAAAACAACACTTAGATGGTGTATGCTGCTCTGTCAAGTTTCCTTGTCCAGGGCCAGTGCTGAGAAGGTTTTTTGGCTTCTGAATTGCAAAAAGATGGTGAGTCAAATGTGGTTCACATCCCTCTGGGTCAGGACATGCTTTGGGCTTACTTGCCAGCATGGAGAAAAACAGCAGTATAGGAAAACCCAGTAAAACTCAGAATTGGGAGAGGGTACTACCAGGGTTCAGACTCTGATAGTTTGCCTAATGCTTGAATCCAACTCAAACTGCCCTTTGTAACAAGAACCCAGGCTGCAATCCAATTAACAAAAGATACAAGGAATGTTCCTGCTTGTGATCATTCTCTGTGGAATGTGAAATATCCCAATAATGAGCAGATATGCTTTTTTTCCCTCAGGAGTGGAAATGTTTAAAGAAATCACAGAATTTATTGATGGATCCGTGTTCTTGAAGCTATCAGAGACAAAGCTGAAACAATTCTTCCATGTTGTCTGGAAAAAAGAAAACACAGAAATTGCTTGGACAAATGGTTCTTGGTTTTGGTACCATGAGGAATATGTTAATAGATCTGAGATTGTGTCTAATTACAGTCTCAGACTAGACAGGATTCAGGAACGTGACTGTGGCAGATATTCTATAGAAGTGAATACTAGAGATGGGAGAACTCTATATAAAGGCATTGTTAGTGTGAAAGTTGGTGAGTATCACTTAAAAATGCTGTCTCTCAGTCAAGCAAAGGTGTTTTTTTTTTAAAAAAAATCCAGATTCAATAAAGAAGTCCAGATGAATTATGTAAGAGACTGCCCCAAATGCGCTAGCAATTAGCTAATTAACAGATGGCTGAAATGAGACTAGCTAGAGTAAGCCTTGTTGGGTAAAGCTGGGCATTCTTCTGCCAGTATGACGGCTCCAGCCAAAGACCTAGGCTGGTAGAAAGCATCGTTTTGTTTCTGTTTTGTTGCTACAATATATTTTGAAAATACTATGAGCTGTGACAGAATTTTTTTTTTTTTTTCCCCCCTGGTAAATGCCATATCCTTTGTTCAGATGATTGCTGGTTTAGATGCTTCAAAAGAATTTCTGGTCAGTTTGGGTTTGAGTATCCCCCAAATTGGGAAAAGATCCACTTTCACATCTGCAGAGGTTACTGTGGTGGGGAAACTGGGAAACTTTTAATTAAATGTTTCCTACTATTCTAGTTTTGTTCTAAATTTCACAGTGTAAGAGGTTGACTAGTGTAGTTACATCGATACAACTTTTTTGTTTGGGCTAAAATTAGCTTTTTTACTGGCCGAGGGACACATCTGAGAGAGGAAAAACAGTTACTCTAAAAATACTTCACATTTCCTGCTTGTCTCTTCTTCTAAGAAGTGACATCTTAGCCTCCCAGTGAAATGATGTGAGTGCTGCCTCAGTGCCACATGCACTTCCCTGGAACACAAGGCTGATGTACCCTTTGAATTTTTCAGCGATACAGAAGCTGAACCAGAGTGATACAGAGACTTACAAGTGTACCTGAGTATCACACAGCGATACGCAATGCCTAGTGTGGGAGCATATCTCACTAGCTGTTCTTATCACACCTTGCAGGATTCTCAGTGTGAGGCAGAAAGAACAGGCTGTTGGCTGGGGTCTGTCCCAGTGCCATGGGTTACAGGCTCCCATCCATGCTTTGTGAAAAGAGGCCCTTTGGTGTAAAATCCTTAGAGAAAACAAAGAAGGTAACCTTTAAGTTTTAGAGGTCAGCTTTCTGATAATAATGTACTTAGATGATGTTACAAAAATAAAGGTCAATAAAGCTAACACAGTACAGCAGGATGAAGGTGCAGTCAGTGTTTTTTACAACTGAATTTTTCTTGTAGAGCAAAAGGAGACGTTTGGAAGAAATGCTGTTCATGTACTGTTCTATATTGTCATGGTATCACTAGGAGTTGTAATTATTACTGTCTCAGTTGTGCTGACGTGGCATTTTCAGAAGCCCAAAGATGAGTCAGGTGAGATATCCTATTCAACACTTCCAGAATGCAGAAGCCTTATTTAAACAGCCATTCATGTGTAGATCCAGTTCTCTGCGTTTCGGGGAATATCTGACAGTGCAATTTCTACTATGGGCGAGGTTAAGACTAGCAGGCTGCAGCTTTACACGGCATCAGTGCTGGCGCTGGCACATGGCTCTGCGGGGACTGACTGCCTGAGGCTTTTCACACCATTGGAAGGACTTTCAGCCCTGCCTGCTGCCAGGGTCCTCTGCTGGCAGTGCCCGAGCTGGTCCTGTGTCTCTGCAGGGTAGACGTGTGGCAAGGCCTTAGGGGCTCTCAGCAGCTGCTGTTTTCCTGTTTGGGTGGTCTGCTGAGAGATGCTTTTGCCATCTGGAGGTGGGACGTTGGCTGGTAAAACAGGGCCTCATATCTCTGCCTGGTGGGGCTCACCTGCATTTGGTCACCTTTGGGAGCAGTGTTGGTGAGTGCAGGCAGTGAGGGGGGACCCATGTTTGCTCCTGAGCCAGTGACCCCAGCCTGAACGTGGTGTGGCCTCCCCAAGCCCAGACACCACGTCACCACTGGAGCTGTGCGGGCGAGCGTCTGACTGGGCTCAACCGTGACGGCGTTGCGCAGTATGCATGAAGCTGGGGTGCTGCTCAGGAGCTCCCCGTTGGCTCCCAGGTCTGTGTGAGACTTTAATACAAATTGAAGATCTTCTGGTTTGCCAGTTTTATGTAGCTCACACCTAAATGGGGGCAAATGGGAATGGGAATCACAGGTCCTGTGCATAAGGTGAGTGGAGGATGGGTCTGTATGGCCTGGTGGGTGGAAGATGATGATCTTCTCTGACAAGAAGCTGTTATTGCCTGGAGGTGCTTTGCAGTTCAAATGCACTGTTGGTCCAGCACATAGCTGGTGGAGACAAAAAGTAGTTTGTACCATAAGGTAGGAAGGAGTGGGTAGTGATTTGAAAGGCTTTAAGCTAAACAGAGGAGAGGAGAGGTCAGACACAAAAGGGAGTTGGGAGGAGGGTGCATTACTGGGGGTGTGGTGTGCATGAAGAGACTGAAAAATACAAGATCATCAGTGCATAGAATATTCTTCATGGTTCAGAGCAGTGAGACACACTTAAGTCAAAGCCGTTATCTCTGGTTATGTGCTCCTGAGCCTTCCTTTTCTCTAGTAAGGGATGAAATATAGGGAATTGGGCTATATATGGGGTATGAATTCTTCCACTGCTTTGTGCAGATGTTTCAAGTGTATTTGTCTGCTTTTTCCTTGACTTGGCTTAAGTTTGGATCACAGTACCAAGCATTCAATATGCAAGTTTGATCCTTACGGATGAGAGGGACAGTCCTGAGGAATGTGAAGGAAGGGATGAAAACAATCCTTGTTCACGTGAGTATCCATCACTGTGTGGCTTCCTGTCGGGGACAGAGAGGGAGCCAAGAGTGTGATTTGTCTGTGTGTGGTTTGGTGAGGCCTGACTGTCTTATCTAAACTGGACATTGTAATCAAGGGAATCTTTTTTCTAGCAAAGAAATACCTGAAATTTGAAAGATCTGAGTTACTCAAAGTGCTCAAAAGCTGCTGACAGCATTAATACCAGGTATTAATATCATGTGTGCTGGACTGGGACTATCTAGATGATGAGTTTTCTGCAGTTTCAGGTCCTGCCTAGCCTAGTCTGGCGGGCTGTGTCCTCTTCAGCTATGTGCAGAGACTTCTGGTTCCTGTTAGCTACTTGCTGCCTGGGGCCAGCTGGTGCTTTCCCTTCTGCTTCACTTGCCCTGCACATTTGTTAGGCATCACGCTTTCTGGGCAGAGGGGCGGTTCAGACCGTGCAGGGCAGACAGTACCTCTCCTGTATTAACTGCCGTGATCCTTCCACCTGTCTGCCCTGCTGTCCTCCCCCATGCTCTCCTCCCTCTTCCCCTTTGTGATCCTTGCACAGTTCCTCCCACCTGGTGGGAGTTTCCACCCCAGCTCAGAGCCAGGCCATTGCAGTGTTTGGCCCATGCAGCCCACCAGCCTGGAGGCCCTGTCCCCTCGACACCAAGATGTGCTCTGCAGGGAGCCAAGGGGGCAGACCCTGCTGTCACCCCAGAGGTGGGGGTGTGAGGAGTCCGATGGCTTCTCTTGTGGACAGAAGCGATTCCTGCATTTGAGTGCTGAGCGCTGCAACACCAGAGACGTCACGTGTGAACTGGGTTCAGGGAATAGATGTGTCTTCTTGGGCTCCTTTCCTGCTACGTTTTGTAGTCATAGGAAGTGATGGAGGTAGTGGGTAGAGTGAAGTGAAACTCAGATGTTCTACTTGAGAGGCATGGCAGAGACTTGGGTTTGCACTTTTTTCCTGAGTTTTCAGTAAATATACAAATCTAATAATTTTAGAAACTTGGGTTCAGCTGTGCAACATTGGCATTTCTGCTTGCTTTCTGCTTTAAACAACTTACTTTCTCATGGAGAATGTTACTCAGCCCAGATCCCCATAATTACTTATGGAGCATCCTGTAGCTAGTCCCTACTCTCATGTGAGTCCCCAGGCTTTCCTGCCAGCACTGGACTCATCAGCCAGTGCCTGAGAAAAACACATTGAACTACTATGGGAGAACTTTGCAGAGGGACTTGTAATGATGCTCAGGTGAAAGTGCTGTAACCGTAGGTACCAGTCAGGAACTAACTGTGCTGGTGTGTTTGCCAAAGCCATTTTGCCGGTCTGGACTCTGAACCTTGAGCTAGTGTTTTTCTTTATTATCCAATGAAAATCTCCATCCCAGAAGTAGCTGCAGAAGAGTGTCTAAAGGAAGGCAGTCAGAAGTCAGTCCAGGGACTGACATCTGAACTTCCTCTCTGTTGTCGTCCACACTCTGAGTTTGTTTTCATTTATTTTTTTTCTCCTTTCAGAAAATGATGAGAATCCTAGTGTGCAGGGACTAGATGGTACAAACTCGCCTGAGCAAAGGAGTAAAGATTTGCTGAGAAGCAACAAAGAGGCTAACCCAGCAACAGCTGTTACGGTGACATATTCTTCTGTCTCCAAACTGCAAGGTAATTGGAAGCAAAATCAAGTAAACAAAGCAAAAACTGAACTAGAGTAAAATGCCAAACAAGAGCTTTAACAGAGCTTCCCATTGAATTGTGCGGCAGATTGGAAGCAGGGCTGGGGCTGGGCAGGGGCAGGGCCGCTGTGCTCAGCGCCTGGGCTCTGCTGGGGACCGCGCTGCCAGTGGAGCTCAAGCCCAGGCCCTGCTCTACCCCCGGGCGTGCAGAGCTGCCGCCAGCCCCATCCCAAATGCCCGGGCGGCTCTGCCCGGCGCTACCGGCGGGTGCCAGCGCAGGCAGGAGCGAGCTGTTGGCCAGAAGCCCCGCTCCCACCAGCTGGGCACGGAGGAGAAGGAGCGGGCAGCGAGGCCCTGGTGCCCCGAAGCGCTTGGCTGCCCAGGCAGGGGCGTCCCTGCGGTGCCCCCTCCTGCGAGGGGCTGCTCAGGCCGCGCTCCTGGACTCGTTCCCCGGGGGCTGTGGGAAAGGCCGGAGCCGGGCGCTGTGAGCAGAGCCGGCGGAGGCCTGGGCAGGCCGCACGCTGCGCCTCAGCCCGCGGGCTGTACCCACAGAGCCCTCCGCCCCGGCCTCGGCAAGCGAGAGGCGGGAAGGAGCGGCTGGTACGGAGGGGTGCCGCGAGCGCTCGCGCCCGTCGGTGCTGTTCTGCAGGCGAGCGCTCACCCAGGGGCTGTCCTCCCCCGTTTCCACAGACCCGCTGAAGGCCTGGCCGCGGGCAAAGCAGCCTGTGTGCGAGCTGAGAGACACCTCGGGGTGCCCCAGTGTCTGCCAGCAGCTGCCCAGCGGCCTCTGGCTCAGCAGCTGCTTTGGTGAGGGGCTGACCTGGCCTCTCCCCCTCCATGCCTCCCTCCCTCCTGGAGGACGGGAGGTAGAGGGGGTCCTTCTGCACATATTCTTTGGCTGCTTTGCCCGTGTTCTTTGGCCAGCCTTTGCCAACTTCTGGCCGTGTGTTTTTCCTGTGTCAGTGTCTTGTCTAGTCAGGGGCATTAAAGAGATTTCTACTCAACTGACTCTTTTCCTTTGAGATGGAGCTGCCAGGGCTCAAAGTTATGAAAGCTGTAAAGCCTCCTGTTTCAGTTAACAAAATGGTGTTGCCCCAAAGGTTGAGAATATCACCCATCCAGAATTTGAGTGCTGCAGTCCTCCGGGATTTGAGGACTCGAAAGCTGACTATGTTATTTTGTGTAATTCAGACTATGTTCCTTCAGGATCCAGAGTGTCCTGGAAACACGGTGAAGAAGACGTGTCTTCTCAGTATGCTTTGATCATGAAGAGCACAAGGGGACTCCCAGGAGACAAGCCTGGAGATCCAGTATGCAGTTCTTCCCCTTGGATTTGCCAGGAGAGACGTCCACAGTATTGGACCTGAGGGTTGGACTCTTCCCTTCTCCCTCAGCTGGCTGTGTGCTAACCTTGCAATTCTGCTGTTCCTCCTATAAATCTGATTCTTCGAAGAATTAACTGGAAGCCTGAAGAGAAATCTCTCTGTGGATCAGTTTCTTTTCCAGAGCTGATGCTCTTCTCTTCCCTCTGCTGAAGGTCTTGCAGGAGAACGCATGAGGACCCCCTTGGAGAGCAAACATGGCAGTTAATCCTGAGGTCAGCCCCTGCTTCTCTTTGCTTCCACTAAGAGGTGTCACTGTGAAAAGAGAAGGACCTCAGGGATTTCTGGAGGTGGGATCAGGGTTCTGACCTCAGTCCCCAACTTCTTGTGTGTGGTCCATGCACCTGACTGACTGGACAGGGGATCAGGACCAACACCTTAACAGCTCAGTGGACATGAGTGGTTTGCTTAAGCCTCCGTCTAACACATACAGTGCTGATAAAACCGCTGCTTAACTTGGTAGATTTAAGCATGATTTTACTTCCATTGTTTGCCTAGAGGAATGTGCTGCTTAGGTGGAAGTCAGTTCAGACTATAGTGGGAGATGGGAACTGCACTGGAGAACATGCAGCAGCTTTTATTTAGGAACTGTTGTTTTAGAAGGAAAGAAAACAGAACATTGATAGCAAATGGGTGTAGCCATATATGTGATTGCCATTAATAAACAGCCTTGGTAATTAGATGTTGTATTTTCTGCAATGCCTGTGTTATTATCTTAAATAGTGTATAGTAATTTTAGAATGGCTTTATCTTAGTTATGAGGTGCTGCCTGTATGTTTCATGAAGCATCATTTTTACAGCATGTTGAATAAAAGTTTTTTGTTATTACTAAAAAGGTGTTCCTGAATGTCATTATGAACTGGGATTGTTTATGTAATCTGCTTTGCTGTTTAAGTATATCTTAATACATGTTCTTTCTGTAGATAAATCTATGGCTTTGTATTCTATCCTTGCTGTGGGCAGAGACACATTGTTGGTGTCTCTCAGATGATTGTGAGTACAGACCCACTCCTGACTGCCCTGCCCTCCTTCATGGGGAAAAAACACCAAACCCCAACCACCCTCTCACCTTGTTCTCACAGGCTCATTCTTGCTTTGCTGTAAAGTCTGAAATCTGTCCACATCCTTCTTAACTTTTGCTCCTCAAAACTGACCACAATATTGTTGAATTTTGAAGTAATCAGGGTAATAACTCCCCATCTTCATAGCTCTTTCTCCCCCTCCTGCATTCAGAAAGGAAATTTTTTTGAAGGAGATCGCCTGCTAGCCCGCATTCAGGCTTATCACAGAAAATATTCTGTCTGAAGGCAAAATTCAGGTTTACCTTCCAGTCTGTGGTGTGAGTTTATGAATCTTCATGGTGTAAGAACTCATCAAAGTCCTACTGAGTATTTATAGGAAAAAATTAAAAAGCGGATTCTGCTGTTGATCTATGAGAATTCAATGAGCATAGATTTAGACTGACTGAAAACCATCATAATCTGATTATGAGTGACACTTCTGAAGATAACCTGCCCTGTAGTGTGATGAAAAATCAAGAGCTGATGACTATCAAGTGTCTGAAAACTGAGTGAGAAAGTTTTGATGGATTTGAGAATGGCTACTAAAAGTTGTAAATTGGAGGATGTAATGGAAAAGCAGCTACCAAAATGGTTTGTGAGCTTTGAGTGCCTTCCTGCTTGCAAGAGGAATACTAAGTAAATATTGCAAGTTCCTTGACTGCTTCTTCAGATTAGTTTCAATTTGCAAAGTGTTTACCTGTGGGAATTTGGCATGTCTGCTGCACTAACTAGGTGGCTTTACATGGGAAAGGAAAGTTTATGGAAGTCTTTCAGTTAAAAGGGTACAAGAGTTGTAAGCAGACCACATCTCTGAAGGAAAAAGTGACTGTAGATCTTAATGGTTGAAATGCCTCAGGTTTCCATGTGTGCTGTTACTCTTTAAAATACTAGTCTTATGTGTTTATCAGTAAGGTCTTCTGTGTTCTGGGTTTGCACTTGACTTAATTCAGTAAGAAATGTGCTGGCTTCCTCAGGGTTTCAGTCCTGTCTTTCCTCTCAACCCTGAACACCCACCCTGTGACTGGTGCTGCACACAAGGTGAAGCAGAGCCGTCCCTGGTTTGGCAGGAGGTCACTCCTGATGGCTGCCAGAGCTACTGCTGAAGCCTCGGGCTCTGCTGCAGGCTGGACCTGGGGGAGCAGGTGATGCAAGAGGGCCTTGGAGTTCTGCCTCCCCCTGTGCAGGACTCTGAGGCACTGTGGTGCCAAGGGGACCTGCTGCAGGGCTCAGGCCTCAGGTTGCTGGAGAACATCTGGTGGGAGGAGGTGGCTGTAGTGTGTCCTTCCTGTGAGTACCAGGTCATTTCCTTTTGGCTTGTTCAGGAGGCTGTTAGTGCTCACTGGAGTGAGATGGTGGTCTGGCTCTATGGCTTGTTATCTGGGAAAGTGGTGCAGGGCTCTGGGTGGCCATCTGGGTGAAATGAGGCTCCTGCTGGTCACCCAGGGAAAGTTGTGTAGTGCTCTTGCTTGCTGGTCAGGGCAAACAGTCTAGGGCTCTGTCTTGTGAGCTGGGGTAACAGGGTGCTGGCTGGCTGGCCAGGGAAGTGGTCTAGGGCTCGGTCTTGTAGGCCAGGGCAAGCGGTGTAGAGCTGTGACCGGTTGATTTGTGGAAATACGGCTCTGGATGGCCATCCGGGACAAGTGGTGCAGGGTACTGGCTGGCCGGCCTGGGCAAGCAATGTAGGGATCTGGCTGGCTGGCTGGGGAAAGTGATGTAGGGCTCTCACCTGTGGGAAAAGGGCTACTGCTGGCCAGCCAGAGCAAGCGGTGTAGGGCTCTGGCTAGTGGCTGGGGGAAGTAGAGGTCTGTCTGGTCCGTCAGGGCAAGCAGTGTAGGTCACTGGCTGGCTGGTCATGGCAAGCAGTGTAGGTAGGTCTCTGGCTGGTTAGCCAGAGCAAGTTCTGCAGGTCTCTGGCTGTCTGTGGGAAGTAAGGCTTTTGGGCCAGGGCAAGTGGTGCAGGGCTCTGTCTGGCCACCTGGGCTAAGCGGTGTAGGGCTCTGGTTTTCTGGCCAAGGCAAGTGGTGTAGGGCTCTCGCTTGCCGGCCAGGGAAAGTGGTGTTGGGCCCTGGCTGGCTGTCTGTGGCGAGCAGTGTAGGGTTCTGGCTGGCCAGCTGGCAGGAAAGGGAGCTTCTAGTGACCAACCAGGGAAGTGGTCTAGGGCTCTGTCTTGCTGGCTGAGGGACATAGGGGTCTGCTGGCCATCCAGGGTAGGGGGTGTAGGGCTCTGGCTTGCCAGGTGGTCAAGAGGTGTAGGGTTTTGTCTGGTCGGCCGGATAAAACAAGATTCTGGCTGGCTAGCTGGGGCAAGTGGTGCAGGGCTGTGGTGGATGGCAGTGGTATGGGTAGGGGTCTGGCTGGCTGCTTGCGGTAAGTGGCGGAGCTCCGGCTATCTGTTTCATGGTTGAGTATGGTTCTGGCTGGCAAGCCACAGAGTGAGAACAAGTCTAGCCTGCTGGAGATAGAGGATCTGGGTGGCCAGTTTTAGAAAGCACCTCTGGCCGGTGGCTGCTGCTGCTATTTCTAGTAGGCCAGCTGGCGGGTGATGCTATTGCTAGCCAGTAGAGGTGAGTGTGGCTCTGGCTGGCTGTTGGCGAGAGCGTGGTTTTGGCTGGTTGGCTGGCCAGGGAAAGACTGTCTTCCTGGCCAGTTGTGGGCAGAATGGCTCTTGCTTGCTTGCTGTTCAGGTGTAGGTGGTTTGGCTTACTGGCCTGGGCAGAGATGCTTGGGCTGTGTGGTTGGGGGGAGATGCTTTTGCAATTAAAGCGGTAGCTGCTGAGCTTAGTGTGCCAGATAGCAATCATTAGAAAGAATGTTAGCAGGTTGCTCTAAGGAGAATAATAAACAATAACTTGTGTTTGGCAATTGAAGGGGAACGTCTGGACCTCAGAAGATTCTGTGTTAACTGCCAGGGGTCAGAGGCAGCACGGTATTGGATGTCTGAGAGTACTTCAGAGGTCCTGAACATGACGGGAGAGGCAAAAGTGTGTCTGTGTGCTGTGGGATGATTATGCTTAGCCTTTCGTTGCAAGCTGTATATAAACTCCTTGCAAATCTCTTTGGATACTTTCTCTTATGGAGAAGGGCTCTGATGATCATGAAATAAACCTTTTGTAGTTATTTGTAGTCATACCCTTGTGTCCCTCAATCAACAAACATCCCAAATCACTTTTGCAATGGAATTTGTAGCCCAGATGGGACCTCTGGTCCACTCTGGAACCTCCTGGGGAGCATCTGATCCATGGAACAGGTTTGTTCAACTATTTCTGTCTGTTGCAGAGAATGCATTGGCACTAACCAGAAAGGGGTGAGGCAATGGTGAGTTGAATTTCTGTAATTCTGCACAATTCCTTTAATTTGGAAATGGAAGAAGGTGCAGTGAAATGTACTTTGTTATCTGAAAAATTGGAATATTTGGAGCAGAATTGCTGGGTACCCACAGGTTGTCAAGAAAAAGGGCTGTTGAATTGTGTCAAGATACCTGGCTGGCTATGACTGCTTTTGGGACTGGAGACCAAAAGTGACCCTCAGAGAGTACTTTTTAGTTTGACTGCCTAAAGTTTTTAAAGCTAATATTGGAAGACCACTTCCCAGCTCAAATTGATTATTGGTACGTCTGGGACAATTTGTGACATGATAGATCTAATGGCCAGTCTCATAAAAATAAGATAAATTATAAGAACAAAACCAAAGCATCTCCTTAGTCACTGCTATTCACAGAAGCTCAGGCAGCTGCTATAGATATCTCTGTCTCCTTGGTCTCCTATTGACTATCGCTTCTTCTGTTCCCCCTTCTGCATGTCCTGCTTTCCCTCCAACAGCAGTTAAAGCTTTGCTGAAGGAGGTGATTATTTCTCCTTCAGTGGCAGGGGCAGCCACAACCATAACAAAGGCATGTGTGCCATTTGGTCAGGCAGATTTGGTGGTATGGCAGCAACAAATGCCCTGACTTCAGGAAGACTTGGAAAAGGTTCAGCAAGTGATTAGGGGAATTTTTAGAGCATATGACCCCACTTGGTCTGATGTTTGTTAGTTACTGGAAACCGTATTTACCCCTGAAGAGCAAGTGTTGATTTTGCAGAAAAATAGAGCATGGCTGCTGCTCCGGATGGTAAGACTGCATGGCCAGAATGCAGAGCCAGACAGGAACTGCCAGACCAAGGCAGGATGAGATGCATTAAGATGATGTCAAAAGGGGTTAGAAGAATGGTTAATTGGGCCAAGGAAAAAGAATGCTGACCAGGCATTAACTAGGTGGGGAAACAATTCAGAATGTTTGGGAGAAGGGACCCTGAAACCCTGCAAAATGGGTCTTGGCTTATTTGTAGATCAAGCGACCCTAGATATTAAAAAGTATTTTAACCAATGTTCTCCAGGTTGGCAAGAGAAGCTGGTAGGGGAGATAGTAAGTGTTGCAACATTTGTGTATAATGGAAGGGATGAAGGTAAGGCTAGGCAGAAGAGAAAAGAGCAGGAAAAGTAGGCCAGCTTGTTACCAGCTGCTTTGCAAGGTAGGAATTTTAGGGGGTAAAGAGGTAGGAAATTTGGGAAACAGAAATCTAAATTGGACAAGACTGAAGGATTACTGCAATAAAACCAAGATACTGGAAAAGAGAATGGCCTGTGAACCCGAGAAGGGGACTATGACAGCTACAAGGGGACCTGAACGAAAGCAATGAACAATGGTGGTTACCAGATCCCCAAGTCCTAGCGGTGGAAGGAGATATAAAAGTAATCTTCTTAGGTGACTCTAAGG